TCTCAAAAATGGATGCATCGATTTCAATAATTTAAAAACTATTCTATGTATTCAAATTTATTAACATTGATTATTAGCCCGGTCAATTTACGCATTCAAGGCTACGATAATTCATAATGGTCTGTAACTTGGTATAATTGTTTAAAATACAATTATAAAAGAAATCTCAAAAGTCTTCATCGTTCCGATGCGAGCTAAAAACAAGGTCAAAGGTAAAAAAAATGATTTTATTGCGATTCTCAGCAGTTTTATCGCAAAATTACATTAGACAAAATTGTAGAGCATAAAATTATCTATGAAAAATGTATCAATACTTTTTTTCTCAGAGCCACCGTTTTAAAGCTATATATACTTAGATTATTATAATTGAATAGATCTAGATAATATAGATCGCTTTTTGGAGCCTGAACATATTTAATATACTGTAATAATCCAGTCTATTCCACAAAGTACTAATTTAATTTATCGTGCTTTTCAAAACAAAATAAAATCCATTGTGAAAAAATAAAAAATTAAACAAAAAATAGGTCTTGGTATATAAATAAGTGTCCATCTCATACATATCATTAGATTTTATAAATTTCAATATTAAGAAATAGCACGTAGTATATGCATATATATTTATACCTATATAAATATATATATATATATATATATATATATACATATACATATATATGTGTGTATATATAAAACGATCATTATTTAGATATCCATCCACTTAATTGAGGTAGTTTGTGTTACCAACAATAGATCATTTTTTATTTAAATGTACAGAATCCAGTGAGGCGTAAAAGATGATGCACTTTTACATAAAACAGGTGTATCAAACAATTTAGTTAAAATAACGATATTGATAGTTCAAGCAATTAATTTCTTACTTTAGGATACCTTTTACAGAACCCACTATAATTATAATAGCAGATTCTAAATTTTAAAGATTATTTCAATAGTAGATAAATACAAGTATAAAATATTGAAATTACTAGCTTTGAGTGTCTAGCTTCGAGTAATCAGACAGCAACCATAACCATCATATTTACGAAAAAAATATTTTTGAATATTGAAATAAAATTTGCATGCAATTAAATAATATACTTGATTTGATTAAAGACAAAAGGATATGATTTCCAGATTTCTTTCACATTTTATTGCATTTACTTGAAACAAAATTTCTAAGAACGGCATATGAATTTATTTCTTCTTTCGCAATTACCTAACTTTAATTTTAAAAACTTTTAAAATAGCATATTCAATTGCGATAAATAAATCAATTTGCTTTCATCAACTTTTTTTTTAAATAAATTGCAATCTGTTATTACACATTTAGTTTAATAGTTATTAGGATTATACAATTCAATTATAATGGCTTTTAAAAGGACAACATATGAAGAGTTGTAACTTGTAAATTAACATATATTATTTCATTAGTCAAATCTAAGTATAAACTAACAAATAACCATACTGTTAATTTTCTCGTGATTACAAGGTTAAACGTACTGACTTCATTTAAAGTCAACTATATTTTTTTTCAAACTAGTCTCAATTTTATATATTATATCGATTAACTTTAAAAACATTTTAATAAATAGAAGTAACAGTTAAAGTTGTCTACAACTGGCAATATAGAATAAGCCTGAAAATGGAAAAAAGTCTTGAAAACCATTAAATTATTTTCTAACAAGAACAAGATCGATCTCTTTAAATATTTGTGAATCACTAGAGCGTTAAATATGAATACTAATCGGCTCTATTAACTACAAGTTATGGGAATTGTTGAGAAAACATCTTATTCATACCGTTTGTGTAAAAAATAATTATAAAATAGGAATTATATAGTAATTATAAAAACTTATTTATATTAATTTATTATTTTACAAAATTTTCAATACAGGAACTGTTTCTCGTCATTTTATGTTATAATTTGCTCTTTCCCATTTTAAATCGATAATCAAATTATTAGAAAGCGTTTCATCTCATGACTAAAGGTTAATTTATAACAATATAAGTTTATCGACAAAATATTTCAAGTCATATCGAAAACAATCCCACGATCCAATATACATCAGTTGTTGAAGCCATTTCATTGCTTTCGCCGAGGTTTTAATATCGTAAATCACTTTTTAATTTGATTTGTTTGATAAACGTTGTGCTTGATTTGCTCGTTTCAAGTTGCAGAACATCGGTTATAGATTGCTCTATAATGAGAGCGGATATCATAAAAACATTACATTTTTACGAAAAATGTAATAAGTTAATAGATTCAACAATAAATTTAGAGTGTTTTTCAATGTATAGCAACATTAGGTAATGTTAATAATAAAAATATATTTTGCTGTGAAACTCATACAATGACATATTGCATACCTCTAATTATGATGAGATTGACACGATTTAAGCGGTCAAATTGACCTACAATTAAAAAGTTATCTTATTTGTCTTATTATTTAATTCAAATTATGATTGATTTGTTATTTAATGTTTATAAAATAAATACATTTTGATAAAGTTTTATCAATTTATTTTTATTTAATTTCTAAAAGAAATTATAAGAGACAAACAAATAAAATTGAATATTTATACAGAATGCCATATGCATAAATACTTTATTCGGCTTTCTCACTTTGTTTACTAACTATTTTTGTCTGAAATGTACATTTGAAGCAAATATATTTGTAACTTTAACAAAAAAAATTGACAAATTCGAACTTAATGACAGTGTTGATGACTTTTTCCCTCTACATTCAAACTTTGTTCTTAACTTTACTTGTTTTTGAGATATAGGTAGTGGAACTTTAAGCCCCGCTCTACCCTATATTATATGGCTCATATACGGATTTGTTTTTTTTATTTATAACAACGATTTGTTATACCCTCATATCAATAAGATTTGTACCATACAGCAAGCTATTATTCAAATCAAGGACTTTCACTGATAAGGCATTGGAATGTCTATGAAATATATACTCAGAAATATTTTTATTTGCTCTGTCTGAGAATTTAAATTTAATATGCGTTTGGAGCCATTTATGAAATATAGAAACAGAAATAATTTTTGCTTTGAGTTCTACATGTGCAATTGTGTAATCTTTATATTTGTTGCTTCGTTATGATTTAATTTTAATAGTAGGTTATATAAATTGCATGTATAAATCATCATATCGTATGGGATGCTAAAGAAATAGAAATTTTACCTTTATCTAATTATTTTAAAAATATTTTTTAACTTCCTGAAGTAGATTATTTTCGCTTGAAAATCCAATTTTCTAATTTAATGTTATTCTGAAATACCAAAATTGGAAAAAGTATGTATATGAGCCAATATTTGAGCATTACTGTAAAGCCAAATGTGTAAAAACCTTTGTCGCTTTTCGAACTCAATTATCTGAGTATACTAATCAATATTAATTTTAATCACGTGTTTCTTAAATTATTTAGGTTCATATGTGAACATATAATATGATATGGTCATAAAACCATTATCGGATACGCGTATTAAAAGCTCATAAATTGTTAGGTCTTAAATACATCCATTGAGAGAGTTGAGGTCGCACCTTACCACAAAATTAAGAGAGAATCATCATCAGATTATTCTTAATTATAGTGAGCACACAATTAGTCTATAATTAAACAAAGTGCCGTACAGAAGAATGAAATCTATCTTTGGAATTTTGTCTTTAAAATAAATATTCCATTGCCATAGCGTGTGAATTCATTCAGAAATTCTAAATAATCTTTTATAAATTTCACAAGGATTTTTATTTATGTATTGATAGATTTTTTTATGAACCTTGATAGGTTAACAAGACTTTTATCTATGTCTAATTGGAATAAGTATATATGGTATTAAAGTAGATTGTGCAATTTGATCTAATAGAATTAATTTATCACACATTTGACTGTATTATAATTTGTGAAAATATGAATAATTATGAGTGTAGATATTTTTTAACTCTTTGGTATTCTTTGTTTATAAGATAATTAATAAAATAAGTGATTAAAAATATAATACATCAAACACTCAAATAATCAATAATGATTGAATTTACAAGTGTTTTTTATGAATATTACAATATTATGATAAATATTCTTTTTTTTTTCAAATATACAATTTTGTTCTACCAAAGATTTTAATAGTGATTTTATAAATACAATCTTATAACAATCAAATAAATACAACTTATTTCATTATTGGTTTATTTTTATTATGAAAATACTATTTATTATTGCGAAACACAATCGAAATCAATTCTCTATAATAAGAGGGCGTCCATTAATCACGTGATCGATTTTTAAGGATTTTTAGACCCCCCTTCCCCTTGGTGATACGACGTAGTAATATTCAAAATTACCCTCTCTCCACCATCAAACATCACGTATGTTTTTTTTTTAAATGCAGATAAAAAATAAACATGTGATATCTTACCCTCCCTCCCCACGCAATATTTCGTGATTTTTTGTCAAATCCCCTCCCCCTTCCCCTAAAATCCTCACATTATTAATGGACGCCCCCTAAAAGATTCATGTAAAGAAGAATTTTTAATAGCAAAATGATAGTATAAAACGGGTATTACTACCCTAGGGTAGGTCCGTGAGTTAAACTCCATTTCTATTCATAGAAGAATAGTGTGAGATATATATCCCATTGCAATTTCACACGTAGTGCCCGAAAATGGGCTATTTTAAATTGGAAAAAAAATTTGATCTATATTTTTAAGTGAAAATATACATCGCTACTACACCATGTCAGTTTGTCCAGAGCGGGTGAGCTTAACCTTAATTACAATTACAAAAAAGTCTTAATATAAAAAGATATCATAGGAATCATTATATGGAATAAGTTAAAGCACTGCCCGTAAGGTCATTTATAATAAATGTCTTTAGGGCTCACAATTTATTTGATGCCCTATTTAATTTTAATCGATAAATAATTATTTATAACATTAATATCTAATACTTTATTCAAAATTTTAAATAAACACCATTATGTTTTGTTTCAGGATGCAAAACGAGGAACGGAATTAGAATTCATAATTGCAAGAAAAAATCCTCTTTCACAAAAACCAGTGTACTTGGAACTATGGGTAAGATATAAAATTGATTCCATTTTTTTAAGTATTATTTAATTTTATTTCATTAGAATTACATTATTTCTAAGCAATAGTCCCCGAACGGTTTTTGGAAAATGGGTAAAGTTGCATTTTGATGCATTGCGTTGTTGAATTGATGGTTCCGAATTAACACGTTTTTATTTCAAATTTTAATATAGGAACATTCTTGCAGACCAGTTCTATATGTACAAATTAGATTCTTCTTTGTATAGATTAGACTCAAAAATCTTATTTTCATATGAATAGAATTTAAGTGCAAACATGTTTACATGAATTATCTTAGACGCCCTGTTTTCATGTATAATTTCACATTTTATATGTATACATTTTACTTAAAAAATAAATGGGCAGCATTTCAAATTTAACAATGATACAGGTAACCCCCGCATAACACTGTAGTTACGTTCCAAAAAAGTAGCGTGTTATGCGAATCCGCGTTATACGGTGAAAATAACTAGTACAAAAAGAGGGGTTACATTCCAAGAATTCAAAAAAACATGCTACATATCATGGTTTTCTAATAAATGTTGTTATATATATATATATATATATATATATATATATTTTAGAAGTAGTATACATTATATCAATTATATGATTTTTTTTTCGTCATAATTAAATTGTAAGCGCTATCCAAAACTATCCTTTTTTTGCAAGATATCTTCATCCTCTGAACAGCTTTCTGTTTTACTTCGAGATTCGTGCATTATTTTTTTTCAAACATAAATATTTTTGCGATTACTTGCTTTTAGCGGAAATATGTTTATATATTTACTGCATGCAAAGTTATTTTTTATTAAAATTTTGTGCTCATTTTATTCAAATGATCTTTGTTTAAGACTAATTGAACAATTGTTCGGATAAGCGTAGGATTTTTTTATCGATAGAACGTACGCGCTCGTAAGTATAAAAATTAATTATTTTTTGCATTAGTTTTATCACATTTATTGAGCTATTGTACTGCGATTTTACTAATTTTAAATTAAATAAAGTTTGATTTCCATGGATTTTACAATATTTTTTTTATTTTATTGGGGTTTTGCTCAATACTCAAATCGTGTTCGAGCGAACCCGTGTTTTAAGGGGGATGGTATCAATTCTTAAACCGTGTTATAGAAGTTCTGTGCTATAAAAGTACCGTTACCGCGGGGGTTACCTCTATATACCATAAAACCAATTACATATTTAGAACATAACATATGATGGTTTATTACTCAAATTATAAATACACAATTAAATTGACTTAAAATCAAATAACAATTCAAATCGTTCAATGCATCAATTAACCAACAAGTAACCGCGAGCAATAAGATAATGTTCCTATGTGTAATCAATCTGTGGTCCATGATCGTTAATAGTTACATAATCGTCATTTTTTTCCACACATAAAACCGTTACAATAATTAACGACGAATAATTAAGGTCTATTAGAAATTGTGATAATTTTCCATTGTATTTGATCATTCTTTTGGACAGGGATCTCCGCTCTTCGCAATCAGACAAAGGCTCACGACACCAGACACGACCGAAGGAGTGATTTTTCTGCTCGGCCCACTGGATTTCGAAACCCAGAGCATGCATCATCTCACCATATTGGCTAATGTGAGTATAATTGCAATTTAGGGTCTATAGCTTAAAGGTCAGAACTGAATTTTATTACTTGGCTTATTTACCGCAGTTTATAGGATTTGAATAATGGATAGTATATTGTTAACATACGATGATAAAAATTCACATCATGAATTTAAAATGAAATTTACTTTACTAGACATATAAACATATATAGTAATACCCGACGTACGAGTTTAATTCGTGCTATAACCATGCTCGTATCTCGAAGCAATGTTTTTTTAATAATAAAAATAAATTTATCATTTATTATTAACTTCCCGTAGGGTAAGTTATTGTAATGGGCCGAAAATCGGAATTGAACATTTTTACATTTCTTGACGTTTTGAAGGTTTCTGAACATTTTTGAAGGCATACTTCAGAAAAAATGGATGTGTGTGTGTGTGTATGTATGTATGGATACAAATTTCCAGTCACGTTTTCGGGCGCACGGATCAACCGATTTGAATGGTTAAAAAACATTCGATTCCTATTGATAAGGAAAAGAGCTGATCAGTTTTTGGTAGAGGCAGGTTCAGCAGGTCGGAGATAACGAGCAAAGAGTGCAGAAAATAGAAATCGAATTTTTGAGAGAACGTAGTATCCGATTTGAATGATCTAAAAATCATTCAATTAGTAATGATTGGTAAAAGTGTTTATTAGTTTTTGGCAAAGGCAGGCCCAGCCATTTTGAAGATACGGAGCTAAATATGTAAAAAATGGCAGTTTTTGAGAGAACTAAGCGTCAGATTCAATTGATTCAAAGAACTTTCTGCTTGTCTTAACAAAATAATTGATTTTGGAAAAAAAAATTTACTCCATTTTTTTTTGTAGTTTTTTGTATATCGAAAATAATTCAGATTTTATTTTTAATTCTGACTATAGTTCTAATATACTTTACAAATAATTTCAACTCTGCAATTCAGTTTATATAATTCTTATAAATATTAGACAATGTTACAATATTTATAATAATCTATTTGAAAACATGCAGTATTCCTCGAACATTTCGTTACGGTACGGGAAGTTCCAGCAATTTGCCTTAAGGCACGATGCCATGCTAGTTCAATTATTCAATTATTGTTTTTTTCCTGTACATTCATTACATTACGGAAATGAGTTAGACATGTTTGTAAGGCCCTTAGCTGGAGTTTACCCTTTATCAATACATGTTTAAACCTATGGTTATAAAAGTTAATAATTTTAAAAATATACAAAAAGCAAAAGAACGCGGGCTCAACTTATATAACTCTACAAGCAATGTTAATATATAGTTAAAATTTCAAACATCAAAATAAACATCAATATATTGGCTTGGGTAAATCGTTATTACACGAATAATACTAATATATAATTAAATAGGATAAGTATAAAATACTTCAGCTCGCATCTCAAAACACAATGTATATATGATTGAAGCTGTTGAAAAAACATATTTGAATTTCTTTTATCAAAGAAATAAAAGCATAATTTTGAATTTTTATTATAATTTTATTTTTAATTTCAAATAAATAAACAAAAACATCATAGTGTAAAACATGTAAGATTAACCTACATAAAAGAAACCGGTTTCAAACCTAGTATATCAAAGCATTTAATAAGTGTCATTGCTGTTAGTTCACAAAGCATTAGTCGATTCATATTTACTTTAACAATTTCACCTGCTTTATTTTTCTCTATGCAATAGCAATTATCATAAAACTCAGAGAAGGACGTAGCAACTTCATACATGTATTCGCACAAATGATGCAAAAATAAATCATGTGTTATCTTTATTAATACATCAGGGAATTTTAACAAAACTTTTCCCAATTTCCATTCTTTGGGATGTTCCAATGATACATCAATATTTTCAGCAGCTTGGATAATTTGTTCACGAATAACATTTGCATTTCGAGCAATTGAGCTTATGCGTGTATACTGATACAGCATATAAGCAGCAGTATTTCCTTTATCCTCTAACATCTTATCAAAGGAAAATACATATTCGAGATTTCTATTATGAGATAAATCAGCGTATTTAATGCAACCATATGCGACAGACTCTTGTGCTGCTTTCAATTGTTGTGGCGTAAGAACTGTATCCCTTCCTTTACTTTTAAGCACTGCATCTGTTTTCCTCAAACCCTCATCAAGAAGGTCAATTAACTTAACTGTGTCTCCAGATCTGGTTTTAAACTTCTTGCCATCTTCCCCTAAGACTACTCCAAAGCCGACATGATCTAAACGATGTTTACTAGAGTTTAAAATACCAGCACGCTTTGCACAAGATTCTATGCTTTGGAAATGTGTTGACTGACCAGCATCAGTCACATATATTAGCCAGTTAGCTTTTTCCTCTTCTATTCGGTGCTTAATAGCAGCTAAATCTGAAGTGTCATATGTAAATCCACCATCTGATTTAACAATTGTCAATGGTATTCCTTCCCCATGTTTCTCACCCCACATAATCATTCTTCCATTATCTTCTTCTAATAAATTTTTATTAGACAATTCTTTTACAAGCATTTCCATTCGACTTTGATAAAATGATTCTCCCCGTTCCATAATTTTAATGTCCAACCTATCATAAAGCTTTTGGAATTCTTTTCTGGACACATCACATATTAATTGCCAAGCTTTATAGTAATCCTCATCGAAAGCTTGTAATTTTACTACACAAGCATAGGCACGTTTTTTAAAATCTTCATCTTCATCAAACCTTTTTTTTGATTCCTTATAAAATGTCTGCAAATCACTAATTTCTGGGCTTTCAGTTTTAAAGTTCGGAAATTTATCTTGTAAATGGGCAATAAGCATTCCAAATTGTGTACCCCAATCACCCACATGATTTATTCTTAGAACTTCATGACCTAAAAATTCTAAGAGCCTACATATAGAGTCGCCAATAATTGTTGACCGTAGGTGGCCTACGTGCATTTCCTTAGCAATGTTTGGAGATGAAAAATCTACTACAACCTTTAACCTTTCTGATAATCGAGGAGGAGTAATTCCATTTTTCAACCATTCTTTTAGTATCTTATTGCAATATTGTCGACACAAAAATATGTTAATGAAACCGGCATTTGCTATATCTACTTTCTCAATTAAAGGACACTTGGGACAATTCTTGACAATAAGTTCAGCTATTTCTTTTGGAGAAGCCTTTATGCCTTGTGATTTCAGTAGTTTGCATATGGGTAGAGCAGAATTACACTGGTAATCGCCAAATGGTATCTGAGATCCAACCAATGATACAATGATTGGAGGGTTGGTTAAATCAGGATAGGACTGATTTACAGCTTTTCTGAATGTATCAGTTAATATTGTCAATATACTATCCATATTAGAATCACTGAGATCTTGAATTGCCTGTTTCAATATGGAAATTCGATGAGACAGTTTTAAGTTTTCATTTTTTAATGCATCCAGTTCGGTGGAATTTGCTGTTAAATACGGACCTTTTCCAGTAATCTCACAATATTGCATCAGTTCTTCGTACTGGCTTTTCAGTTCGTTGAACTTACTATATTGAATTGCCTCCATTTGAGACATGGCACTAAAATATATATAATGAAATTGTATTTTATTATATATATATATTAATGATAACTATAACAAATACCTAAAAATATTTAATAAAATAATAAGTCACTATAATCACACGATCAGACTACCGCATCATTATCTTCACGAGCCATGTGGGTGTCACGTCACACGTCAGTGTCACACATGTCATAAAGAAGAATGTCATGACACATCATGACTACTATTAACTTGCGCACAACGAAAGCTTATTGCCAACATTAACGAAAAGCGCTTACTTCATACATATGTATTCGCATTGACATTGACGCACACACTCACACAGACACGCCGATGCGTCATACGTCTGTCGCATTTATGTCAAATTATAAGAATAATTTTCGAATGTGTAAATGTTTATACTTTTAAAATATAATGCATTGTGCATTAAATATTGGTGGATCTCCATAAAATATGACGGACCTATATAATATTGTAACCTAACATTCAACCATAAGGAATACAGTTTAAAAGAATCAATATTTATTTTTTCATGTAACAAATATATATCTGCATTTTAATTCAATCCTTAATGTCTAGCTTCCTGCACATGATTCTTATACCACTCTACTGTTTTTTTAATAGCTTCATCAAAGTTAGTGAACTTAAAATTGGGATTCAACTTTCTAAGTTTGCCATTTGTTGCAGTCTTTTTATATTGTCCATCTGCTTTAGTTGTGTCAAATTCAATTTTGCCTTTGAAATCAAAAGCATTTGCAATTGATTTAGCGCAATGGCCTATTGATACCTCATCGCATTCATCCACTACAAATTATATAAAATAAATTATTAAATCAGATTTGAAGTTTTTCAGTATGATTTATTTATTCTTCATAAAACTGTACCTGATAAAATAATAGGCTCAACTGAATCATAATTTTCAAGTACCCATATAAATAACTTTGCAAGATCCAAAGAATAAATGAACTGCCGTAAAGGTTTTCCAGAACCATACACTGTGAAAACTCGTTCTGTTTCAGATACATTTTCTTGGTCCTATAAAATTTTATGAACATAAAACATAATATCATGAATATATATAAAATGATTCCTTTTTGAATATCAAACATTTATTAATAAAAATCAAACCTTTCCATTTATAACTTCATATAAACGCCTGATAAGGGCAGGTATGACATGGCTGGTTGTATTGGAGAAATTATCGTGTGGTCCGAAAACATTGCAAGGTATGACAGATGTAAACATGGAACCATACTGCTGATTGTATGCTCTATAACAATTGAATATGATAGTTAAGTGATGGAAAGCAATCACATACTACATGATACATTTTTCATTATATTTTCAAATAGTAACTTTTTCAATTGCAAATATGAAAAACATTAAACATCTTTAAAAATAAACTTCCAATTTAATAAAAAAACATCTATGCCATTTTAAAAAGAACTTGAATTGTGTAAAAAGAATTAATTAAAAACTTAACAAGTTGTTTTGCAATATAAATTTAAAAAGTCGTTTGTTACAATTAGCTAAAGTTTTTAGCACATTTATTTCAAGTAAATATATGCTGTGTTTAGTCAACTGAATCAAGTGCTTTTTATTTCATTTTTGAGCAAACTAAACATTTATTTTTTTCGATTGTGAAATATGATTAATTTCTATTTTATAACAACTTACTTATTTGTTATATCAATTAATCGTTTTGCATAACTATAGCCATAATTTGAAGGATGTGGTGGGCCATTATGAACCTATAACATTTTAGTCTTATATTTAGTATGCCGATGCTTGTAAATAAACCAAATTAAATGCCTTTATACCATAGTTTCATCAATAGGATATGTAGTTTTGTCTGGAAATATACACGTTGACAAACATGAAACAACTTTCTTAACACCAAACTCTTGACTCAGTAACAGAACATTGTCATTCATTAGCATATTTTTTCGCTGTAAAAGATATATGTTAAAATGAAGTTCATGTTGATATGTATTTAGGAAAAAAAACTTACTAAAAAATCTAAGTTATTGTTCATGTTGTGAAAGAGACCACCGACCATAGCTGCCAAATGAATAACATGGGTAGGTTTAACATCTTCAAAAAGTTTTTTAGTAGACGCTAACTCACTGTAAGAAAATACTCAAATTCATAAAGCGTCTGCACTAAATTGTTTGTAGATTGTTTATTGTGAAACACATGTTACATTTCAATTAATAACATTATGGTCAAAGGCTTTAATGATGTTTATAAGATATAAATTATACATTTTAAGCTTACCATAAATCTGCATCTTTAGATCCAACAAAAAACCATTGTTCATGTTCACGTGGATTCTGGTTTACAATTTCTTGAATAGCTTGGCCCACTAAACCCGTGCCACCAGTCACCAAAACCTTTTTTTCATACTGATTTGCCATTTATTTACTTTGAATGTAAAAATTTTTATAAAACATAACCTGTTCACAGAACTTTATGTATAGGTATGTGTTCGTATTTTATATGACACGTAAAACAACAGGTGTATAATTTAACAATGATATAACCGATGTGATAAGCAAATATCGAAGCATAATATAAATTTACTACTATACAAACTCATTTCTGCATACGTCAAAATATTGTAATGTGAACTGTCAAACTCAAGTTACGGTCAAGAAAATTATACATTCGTAATATATGAAAGCTTTAGGAAATTCTATTCTTGCTTTGTAAATTCATTTAAAAATATATGAAATACTAGAAAAGATTTTTTTTGTATAAACTTTCTAATGAAACTATCTCTGTAGTATGTAGTTTACAAAGAATATTACTAGCAAAATTGTGTTAACGTACGGTTAATGTTGTTTGTTTTGACTTGCTCGTTTCGCCGTTCGCCTTGGTCAGTATTTGAATTGAAAATATATATTGTGCAACTAACTTTTATTGTGAAATTTCAAAATAACTATTATAGTTCATTTATGAATAGGCAATCCGGAAAATTCTTGCGACTTCCTTATTTATAAATAAATGTTAATAATTAAAACTAATCGACAGACAAAATTTTAAAACTCTTTATTACTTTTACCAAAATTTTGAGAATCAGATGTGCTAAATTTATATATTAACTTTTGTAAGTATTATAGATCAAATGTAGAAATATTAAAATAAGTGCTTTGTGCGATCCTATAAATGAATATTTTATAATTTGAACTCAAAACTAGTGGTGTATGAATTCGCCAAAAACAATAGTTTCGTCAACACAAGCAGAATGTTTTTTGAATCATTCAAATCGGATGCTTAGTTCTCTCAAAAATTACTATTTTTCTCAAAGACTTGACTTGCCTTTGCCAAAAACTAATCACGACTTCTCCCTATCATTACAAATTGAATATTTTGTGGATCATTCAAATCGGATACTCCGTTCTCTCAGAAATTCGGTTTCCATTTTCTGCACTTTTCGCTCCGTATTTCCAAAACGGCTGAACCGCCTTTGCCAAAAACTAATCAGCACCTCTCCCTATCAATAGGAATCGAATGTTTTTTGAACCATTCAAATCGGTTGATCCGTGCGCCAGAAAACGTGGACGAAAAATTGTATCCATACATACATACACACACACACCTATTTTTTGTAAGATATGCCAAAATGTTCAGAAACCTTCAAAACGTGATAATATGGAAAAATTTTCAATTTTGATTTTTGGACGATTACTAACTTACCGTAGGAAGTTAATAATGCAATTTGGTGTCAATTTATTTTTAAATATTTAATCTAATATTTTGAATGGTAATACGGATGTTTTAGATAACAATTTTAAAGACAAACTTCAAAATGTTACCTACATATTATTTTCGCGCATTTTGCATAAATAAATAAATAAATAAATTCAAAATAGGAAAATTATTATCAAATAAAATAAAATAAAATGCTTATCAGTTTAGGTCCAGGGAAATATGGACTATCTTATAATTAATTCTTTATTGTCAAAAGCATATTTTTCACAATAAAATTCAAATAATTTTAATTATGCGGATTTTTCTGTAATTAGAATTGATAATCGGCATCTAGAAAAAATGAAAAAGAACTATTTTGATATTACAACAGTAATACTATTACCGAGAGAAAGACAAGAACTTAAGTCAGTGTTTGATTACAAGTTAATTATTAAAATTTCGTCAATCTCATTAAAAACAATTTTCATATTTTGTACACAATTATGACAATTTTTCAGATTTTGGTTTCATTTCAAATATAAATATTTTTATTGGTTATTCTTATTACTCTGCCAGAAGGCTTTTAACATTGGTGTGAGAATGCCTCTCCATTCTTTTGTATATTATGTTTTATAAAAAAATCTTTTTAGATTATATGTTTTTATTCTATAGTATCTTTAAATAACCTAATAAATTTATAACCTATTGTATCCAATTTTCATTTTTGCTCTTTACAACTAATTTCTTTATTCTACCCTTTCTTCTGGTCTTGACCAATTTTAATTATACTTGACTTGCTCATTTGTAATTTTATTCTAATTGCTTCTCATTTTTCTATTTCTAATTCAACTTCTCACATTTCTATTCAATTTTAACTCAAAATTTCAAATTTTATACCATTGCCAAGAATCAATTTGAGGATTGCTGGCTTGTAAGTCGGGCACGCTACTGACAGAGCTGTACCCGCCAATGTATAATTGAATTCGTGTTATTAGAATATTCAGTAATTTAATATGATATCTTCTTCAGTGCAATAAATCTTAATACAACACAATCTCTTATTTTATTATTTCCAGGACGCCTTCCCAAACCCGCGTTACGACTCTCGAAACATATTCGAGCTTCGAGTCGCAGTTGCCGTGCAGGACGTTCAGGACACGCCGCCGGTGTTCAGCTCTGCTCCCCCTGTAACCAGCCTTGCTCCGACGCTACTACCAGGAGATGTTGTGGCCCGTGTCAAAGCTGAAGATGGGGATAGAGGCAAACCCAGGCCTATCACTTATGGACTGGTGTCCGAGGGCAATCCGTTCACCACATTCTTCTCGATCAATGAGACGACTGGTAAGAGCCAATTGATTTATGATCAGTAATGTCATCGAGCTAATCCCAATAATATTTCATTGGGTTAAATGGCTTAGTAAACCAGTGTAACAGTATTCTTCTATGAAATAATTATTGATAGCTTATAATGGTTGACTTATGTACCTATGTAATTATAACAAGGACTGTTATACATTCTGGTACAATTGCACTTTGATTATCTTTTGTTCTAACGGAGCATTCAGTGCATTATATAAAGGTTTCCCCATCGGTATGGAAAAATCATTAAAATCATTATATGTTATCATTTTATTAATCTTACTTTTGTACTTTCTGTGTAATATTGGATAAACTAGGAGTTTAATCTAATTTTCAAATATTGCAATAAAATTATACTTTTCCTATATTTTACTTAAACTTCACTCACCAGAGAATGATTTGTAAATGTAAGTATTTTAAGGGCGGAAGTTCATATAGACGCATAAAAATAGGTCATATTTTAAGAACATTTTTAGACGTGATGGAATTATTTTATTGTTTTTAAACTTAAACACAACTTTATTTAACCCTTTTAGAATACAAAAAAATATTTAAAAAAATTTTGTTTTCAAAATGGAGGCTCAGGATAACTTTTTGTGGGCTGCCTCCGACGCGAGGTTCCAAACTGCTTCATTTCTCACTCATCAACCATCGATCTAAAAAATTTTTTTTTAATGTTTTCTTTTGAAAATATATTAATGAAAATGATAAACCTATAAAATTTAAAGAAAAGTATAAAATTCAATGAAAAACAAGCCTTTGAAAAAGAAATCTGAATTTGTGGCTATTTTTTTGACGTTTTGGACCCCAGAAAATACTTTATCAACGCGAAAGAACTAAAAATTTAGGTTTATCCTTCCGATAATAATATAAAGAAAGGCCTCACCAAATTTCAGACAAATCGATACATAACTTTTTGAGTTACAACACGAGCAGTTTTTAAAAATACAGTTTCGAGATAATCGCGTTTAAAGATTTAGTAAAGGAAAATGACCAGATTTAGTTACTTACCGATTAATCTGCAATCCCAGGTCCATACAATAGTCCTTTCTTATCTTCAAAAGGCTGATTTTCTGTAAGTTGTTGGTTTTTGCTAAGTTATTCGCGCCTCATCAGTATTATCAGCATATACTTTAGCATAAGTACCAACAGTCAAATTCAGAAGGTTCATTATTCTTAATATTGAACTAAAACCTTCATTAAATATTCTAGCTGCAATATATGGTGAAATTTCAACTACCCTTAGTCCACAATGTGGGTGTTTTAGTGATAGTCGCCAAACTGTCGCGTTGAAACTTTCATTCGCGTTATGCGTATGATCACCAAGGCATCCTTCAAGTAAATCATCTTTGGACAAATCTTCATAAATTGGTGAGAGGTGCTGTTTCATTTCTTTACCCAGTAATGGAGCTAAATCTACGTCTAGAGGATCTTGACCACTCGCACTTTCATTATGACTTGTTCTTGCGTCAATTTTTTCACCTGCTTTATCAGTAAACTGATTGCCCTGATAACGTCTTTTTTAGTGTTATTTTGTGCAATATTACTTCGCCTACCTTTTAGAAAATTCGGCATTTTTACGTATTGAAATGGACTGAACACTACGAATTTTCCAGCTAAACTAACTATATTTCTCGACTAGCTTTTGTTCGTATACCAATATTACACTTGTACTAAGGTACATAGAAGTCTTCCGGTTGTAGGACAAAAGAAGTATTTCTAATTATTATAATGGAAGAGACCCTTTCACTTGAAACTTAACAAATACGCTTGATTGCTTGACAATGTGCACTCCGACCCGCCCCGTTATGTTAGCTATAACTTTGTTAATATAAGAGATTTTTTTTCGACTCGCCAATATACGCTCAACATACTATACTTGCAGATTATCGAAAAAAAAAATCAATTTTTTGAAAATGCTATATGGACTTCCCCCCTTAATGCAATCAATTGCGTTTCTACTACTATTATATTTATATGTAACTAGTGCAGTTATTTATTTCAAAATGCCTAAACTTGTATTGAAAAAGCATTTATTTATGCTTTGGTATTCAATTGCAGCAGTAATAGATGATCAGACTGACGAACTAATATCAGATTCTATATGATCATTGTAATATACCTAACTTAGAAAGCGGTGAATTATAACAAAATTAAAAATATGAAGATCACATATAAAGATTTATTACATTCTCTGTAATACTTAATTCCACTCCTTCATATTTTTTCAACCCGTTCTGCAAATTATAGCTGTGCGCATAATATACAATACGTAATATGCACACAATGTAAGCGCACATATTACTGGGAATTATTATACATATTAAGGGAAATTCAATATGTCATTCATTGTCAATCTTGTGTCCTCGTAATAAATCGATTCATATATTAAAAAATTAGATAGCAGTAATAGGGTTGTTCATGATTTCAATTATAGGAGAAGTACGGACAAAATGACATGGAGTTTTTTCAAACGTTTTTAATCATCTTTGGTTCATTGATTACCAATTACATAGTTTACATCTTTTAAATAAGTAGGTAGTATAATAACATTCCTCGACAGAATTATGCAACTAATTTCAAAAACCAATGGTCCATATAGTACGGACCAAATGACATATAGGTTCAGGACATAATTTTAAGAAGATAGTTCATAAATTATACGTTCTCTTTGGGACATCAGCTCATGAAGCATAAGCCCAAAGGGAACAAATCATACATCGTAACTAGGGTTTGTCGGTTTCTAAAAACCGGTTTTAGAAAAACCGTTTTTTTGGCGAAAATTATGGAATTCGAAAACCGGTTTTTTAGCGAAAAAAGTCGGTTTTTACTGTATATGTGGAAAATGATAAATATAAAATAGAGATGAAAGCGTTTTAATTCTTGAAATCATATCGGTTCAATAGCATTTCATATCAGTTTGCAATGGTTCCCAGAAAGATTTTGTATATATTAATTTAGATTTATATACCAGTGTATATATTAATTTAAATCAGTGTAACTTCTTCTTGAAGAAGTAACTTCCTCTACCCTAACTTAAAAAAAGAGTTTCAAACCCTAGAAGCCACAAATAAAAGAACAAAAAACTTAGAACAAGTATGAGAGTATTTTCTATTTCAGGAAATTGTGTGAGTAAACAAAGGACACGTCTTTTTGAAATCATATTTTATTAAACAAAAAAAAAACAATTGGAATATTTAAAATTAATTAATTAAAATTGCTCGGAACAGACAATACCCGAGTTTAGCTTAATTGTTTTTAAAACTATAATTGATATTAACAAGTATGTATCAACGTGTATCTAACATTTTTTTATTTTATTTTAATTTAATGATTTTTTTTATTTAAAAATGTATTATTTTTATTTTATTCGAAAAATTTCCTTTCACTATCATAAAAATATTTTCATTCTTACATGTGAAAATGAAGCATGAATAACGAATAATTATTTTCAAAGTTATTTAATCAAGATAAACTATCATTTTTTAGTTTTACTAATTAAAATTAAAATAATTTTGTTTACTATCTATAAAATTAAACAATAAATATATTCAGTCAAATACTGCTCTAAATTACACTAAATTTGCGGATAAATTACAGAATATTTGATCAAAAATTTATTTTTTATATAAAATTCGAAAACCGGTTTTTTAGTAAAATTAAAATTCGGTTTTCTGAAATGTCGGATTTTGTATCTAATCGTAACCAACCTTCGCCGAGCTCAGAACGGGAAAAGAGGGTTTGCAACAAATGCAAGTCTCTTCTTTTTACCGGTGAATCCTTTGGTCTATTTTTAGCAATTATTTTTTTATATGTTTTAATGTTAATAGTGCTACATGAACTTTATAATACCCACGTGTATAAGGTCTGTGCATTTTGTCCATTGTTACTGTACTGCGTCATTTAATCAAAATTACAGCAATCATCTGTTTTTTGCAGAAAAAATGATCGAAATCACTAGTGCTGGCCTAGGTTCATCAATTTTGATAGAAATCATTACAAATAACGATAAATAAGTTCATAAAAAACATAAGAAAACCACACTCAAAATAAACTTTAAAAGGCTCGATATACGTTTGAACTAATTACTGTGGCAATGACTCTCAACATCTGACAGGATTGTGATTATGGCTTTCGTCACATTATACAGTCGCGGGAACGTTACTAAAACTAGCCAATTTCTAAATAAGGACACAGTGTAATTTTACAGTATACTATATTATAGTATACTTATTACATTATAATTATTATATTTTACAGTATATTTTTATAGTATACTATACTATTCCGAAAAATATGGCGAAAATGGAGTATATCGACAAAATTACACTGTGTCCTTATTTAGAAATTGGCTAGTTTTAGAGTTTATAGACTTAAACAATTTTAATTTTAATAGTATAGTCTTTGTTTCTTTAAATGTCATAGATATTTCATTAAATATAATGATCCTTTAATGTTTCCCATACCTGCAATATATTCTATTAATAAAATCATTGGCGCCACATGAAGCAGTCCGGCTTGTTGCGCTCTCGTAGCAAAAGTACTTTGGCGGGCACGTACCCGCACGAACGTGAGTCCAACATAAAAATAAAACTAAATAAGAAATATTGTGAATCTTAGGGGTCATAAGTCTCGCTCGGCCTTTGGACGAGGCCGCTGCCATATCGCACGCGGGCGCTCCCATCCTGATAACGGTGGTCGCCGAAGAGGTGAAGGTCAGCAGACAGGAGCCGCCCGCGCAAGCCAGCACCGTCCAGCTCGCTTTCCTCCTGCCAGACAGATCCAATAGCCCGCCGTACTTCGACAGCGATAGGTAAAGTTTTTAGATTATCTTTATAATAATAGTCTTTGCTCATTGTATTGTACCCCCTAAAGCTGTATGAGCTGTATGATTGACTTGAACCAGCATGTAGGATTTTATTAGTTACTTACTTACTTTGCCAAAAATAACTTGCTTTAATTATCTTCTCCGAATATCGTTAACTAATTTTATTTTTCTATATTTTATAATAGTTGCAGACGGTTTCAATATTTTTTTAGGAAATGTTATAGTTTATATATAGTGACGATGAGAAACGTGAACTCCGTATTAATTTTCTATAGCTGAAAGCAAAACTCAAAATTGATTTAAATGTTTATTTTTTCTTAGGGGAGCTATTTGTAACAGGGATAACTAGCAAAACGCGTTTTTCAAATAGAACTCAATTGATATTATAATTAACCCATAGGGTTAGTTATTGTAATCGTCCAAAAATCGAAATTGAAAATGTTTACATTTCTCGACGTTTTGAAGGTTTCTGAACATTTTGGCATACCTCAGAAAAAATGGATGTGTGTGTTTGTTCGCTTGTGTATGTGTGTATGTATGTATGAATATAATTTTTCGTCCACGTTTTCGGGCGCACGGATCGATAACATTCGATTCCTATTGGTAGGGAGATGTGCTGATTAGTTTTTGGCAAAGGCAGGTCCAGCCGTTTCGGAGATATGGAGTAAAGAGTGCAGAAAATAGAAATCGAGTTTTTGAGAGATCGGAGCATCGGATTTGAATGATCCAAAAAGCATTCAATTTGTAGTGACGGAAAGAAGTGGTAATTAGTTTTTGGCAAAGGCAGGTTCAGGGGTTTTGGAGATACAGAGCTCAATGTGCAAAAAATGGCAGTTTTTGAGAGAACTAAGCGTCCAATTTGAATGATTCAAAGAACTTTCTGCTTGTTTTAACAAAATAATTGCTTTTGTAAAAAAAATTATTCAAATTTTTTTTTTCAAAAAATTTTTTTTGTATATCGAAAATAATTCTGATTTTAATTGTAATTTTGACTTAAGTTCTAATATACTTTAAACAAATATTATCAACTTTGCAATTCAGTTCATATAATTCTTATAAATATTAGATAATGTTACAGTATTTATTTATAATAATCTATTTGAAAATAGATAATATTCTTCGAACATTTCGTTACGGTACGGGAAGTTTCAATAATTTGTCTTAAGGCATGATGCCATACACACCACTAGTTTAAATATTCTTTTTAACGTAATTAAAGAAAAATCGATTAAGATAAAATGGCAAGGTTGTAGATTTTTATTTATTTCACTATTCATAAAATAAGAATTAAATTAGAAACATGTTATGTTGATAAAAATTAATTATTAATTTATTATTAGCATTAACAATTCTATCAAAAACCTTACACTTGTATAGGTTTTTTAAACATTCGAATCAAAGTCATTAATTATAAAGGGTTTTTTTTTTTTCTAAAAAAGCATTTTTTTCCAAATGCACCTGTGGAAAGATTTCAAAGGTTTAAAATAAATAAGCTAAGATTATTTTGAGAAGTTTTATTATATTAAATATTCCAACATTACATTTTTTATCATGAGTTAAGATATATATATATATATATAATTTATATATATATATAATTTATATATATATATATAATTTATATATATATATATATAATTTATATATATATATATAATTTATATATATATTATTATATATATATATATAATATATTATATATATATATATATATATATATATGTATATATATAATTTATATACGAGTATATATATATATAATTAAATTGAAATATTTAATTAATATTTTAATCACACACACACATATATACACATATATATATATATATGTGTGATTAAAATATTAATTAAATATTTCAATTTAATAATTATACTTATAATTAGGTTGCAACTTTCTTCCACGCCACCCAGGAGGTGAAGTTGCCAGGCGCGTTTTTTTTAATGTGGTGTCGCAACAGAAACAGATACTTTCATTCATATTTACGTATCTAACATCTCACATGGAAACGGATATGGTGTAAATATTACTAAGTATCGACTTCTGCAGCCCTAGTCCACCTAATCTAACTTATAAACTAAATACATATAAACATAAAATTATCCTTAACTGAACCCAATGCACCGCGAAAAACTCCCGCGAAATGATCGAATGATCCCAAATATCGTCATTAAAAACCCCTTAGAACCTTCCGTTGCATAGAAAAAGTAAATTAATATAAATGTGTATTTTAGTACTATAACGGTGAGTTTAAAGTTATAAAAAAAGTAATTACATGATGTACCCCCCTCGATCCACCATGTAAAGACTTAGAAAACAACTTCATAGTTTCCCAGGCTATGAAGTGTATGGGCAAATCATTTTATGATTTGCTATAGTTAAATAATTAATGTTAAAATAAAATGCGCGAAAAAATTGGAAGGTTTACCCATTACCATCAGGCCTGCAAAATTGAAATTAAAATACGCGATTAACCCCAAAAAAAACAATGACCGAAAATTTTAAGCCCAATACGCCATCCCAGTCTGATCCTAACTGAAGATCAATATAATACAATAAAAATAATATAATATAACTAACAATACAATAACACTAATATAATATAACTAAAGTCTTTTTCTCACATTTCATCTGCATTTCATGCGTGCCGTGCAATCCTTCTGGTTGATCTTGAGTATAAAACTTCTTTTGATCCTGGTTGCGCAATTTTTTTTCTGGTTGGTATTGAGTATATAAATTCTGATGATCCTGTTTGGTCTTGAGTTCATAATTTCTTTGGAATATTCTTGAATAATTTCTACTTAAACAAGGGTAAAAAAAACACGAACATGCGACATAATAATATGGTAAACATGCAAATGGGGCCCCGGTAATATTATTATAAGCATAACTTATAACTAACTAAGATCTAATTACTTAATACTAATAATATTATTACTAGAAAACCTTTACATATGCACGTTCTCATCTGGTGGCCTTTTGGCAGTCCTGGTACATCAAATAGGTTCGGTGCAGATTTTTTTCTATGGATTGTAGTAGTAGTTTTATGTATTTGTTACTCTGGTAACTAGTGGCAGCCGATTCACGCTGAAATAAAAGTTTGTTTCAATAATTTCTTATATAATTTAGGATTTTATATCATCGTACCTTTCATTTCACTTCAAGTACTACATCTTCAGCAATTCTCCGTCCGGGGGACCCATTGTGCCACGACCAACAAATTTAAATTATTACCAAAATTAAAAAAAATAAGTTAATAAAAATAAGTACTTTAACAAATTTAAACGGGTTACTTACATCCATAAACGCGTATCAAATATAATAAAAAAAATCAAATTTAAAAAAATATATTTTAAAGTATTTATATAATCATCAATATATATAGTAAACAAATTTAGTAAATTATTTAGATGAAAGTACATGTGTTATTTACAGACTACAGTGCATGGAGTTGCGCCATTTGTGGGAAAAACTTTGCAAGCAACCATACACCCACAAAAAGTAATAAATTAATATTTATTAAATATATTAAATTAATTTAATATTGAAACGCGAACTACTCGAACCTATCGTGGGGGGTAGGCGATAGGAACGTATTAAAAATCGCGAAACGCGGCTTTAAAACTCGTTTTAAACGAGATCAAAATTATCCATCAAAGTCTTCGAACGAACAAAAAATCGGAAAAAACGGGGATGCAAATAAAGAAAAATGAAACTAAGTGAATATAAAAATTTAAATTATCATTTAAAAACTAATAAACAATACAATATAAAACAATTTAATGCACAATGAATCCCTGAAGTTGTCCGCTCCTGTGCAAAATATTGTTCGATATTAATACAAAAAAAAAACACTATAGCAAAAAAATATTAAAATATATAAAAGTGTGTAACCAATTGATTTTGATTTTAAGTCAATACAATATCGAGTCAAATCAAATCAATCAAAACAAAAACTTCATACCATGCATTCGAAAATAAATATATGAAGTTATTACATAATAAGGATTACTCAGACTTACCATTGGAAAGGTCACCTCGAGCTCCAAATACACAATGAAATAAAATGGTTTTTGGAGATGTTTTTATAGGGTCAAAAAGGTGCTAAATTTATGAATTGTTGCCAGATGGTATTAAAATTCCAATACTGTTATCGGATTAGTTTGCGAATCTAAAATATTGAGGGCGCAATAGGATAAATTTGTAAATCAGTATGAAGTCGTGTGTTGACTAATAAGAACACAATTATATTATGTATAGTCTATTTTCAATAAGTATACATTTTGCACTCATAAGTACTGTATATAGAAACTTGATTATACTTACTATGTATTCTACTGGTATGCTTGTTAATTTTGTCTTCTAACTCATCGTACGAGCAATAAGGGAAACATTACAAAATATTATGTAATTACCAAGTACGTAAATAAATGCATTGAATTATTGAGCTAACTATTACAAAGTAATAAACTTTGTCTTAATTATTGGTAATGGCACAATAAATCGAAATGAGATTCCTATCGAATACTTACGCTGTAAGTACCTTACTCCTATTGAACTTAGACCGCAATTAAGATATATCACTCGTAACTTTTTAAGCACATAAAGTTATTACACAATCTTTGCCGCTTGTCCATTTTTAAATGATTGGTAGATATAAATGAGTTTTAGTACTTAATGCTTTAATGAATTTTCTTTTTAATTAGCATTGGTAGGAGAACCATATAACGCTAAAGGGAAGATGTTTCCTATTATGTAATGGTTGTAATTATTTATGAATTTTTAAATTTTATTAACTTTTATTCAGCTTGAAAACACTTGTTCTTATGATATAGGCTTTTAGCCATTCTTCTCAATTCCATACCTTTTGTTTTGTCCTTATTATTGTATTAAAATTGGGCAATGGATTCATTAATTCGTTGAATGATTAAAATTACAGTAATATTATATTTTTGTTATAACTGTGATTATTAAGTTAGTGAGAAAGTTATATTTTATCAGCAAAAAAATTAATTGTATTTTCCCTTAAATTCTTAATATGCTAATTAATAACAGTACATTTATTATACCTACACTATAATAGGTAGGTATAAAAATAAACTAGTGGGGTGTATGGCATCGTGCCTTAAGGCAAATTGCTGGAACTTCCCGTGCCGTAACGAAATGTTCGAGGAATATTGAATGTTTTCAAAGAGATTATTATAAATATTGTAACATTGTCTAATATTTATAAGAATTATATAAACTGAATTGCAAAGTTGAAATTATTTGTTTAGAGTAAATTAGAAAATAAAATCTGAATTATTTTCGATATACAAAAAAAAAACTAAAAACAAATGGTACAATTTGTTTCCAAAATCAATTATTTTGTTAAAACAAGCTAAAAGTTCTTTGAATCATTTAAATTGGACGCTTAGTTCTCTCAAAAACTGCCACTTTTTGCACATTTAGCTCTGTATCTTCGAAATGGCTGGGCCTGCCATTGACAAGAACTAATAATCACTTCTCCGAATCATTACTAATTGAATGTTCTTTAGATTACTCAAAAACTCGATTTCTATTTTCTGCACTCTTTGTTACGTATCCCCGTAATGGCTGGACCTGCCTTTTCCAAAAACTAATCAGCGCATCTCCCTATCAACAGGAATTGAATGTTTTTTGAACCATTCAAATCGGTTGATCCGTGCGCCCTAGAACGTGGATGAAAAATTGTATCCATACATACATACACACACACACATCCATTTTTTCTGAGGTATGCTAAAATGTTCAGAAACCTTCAAAACGTCGAGAAATGTAAAAATTTTCATTTTCGATTTCCGGCCCATTACAATAACTTACCCTACGGGAAGTTAAAAAAATGTGTTTAAAATAATAAATAAATTCGATTCTTAATCTCAGGTCATCATCGCGGCCTTGAAATATTTTTTTTGTTATAATAATGTCCTATTTACAAAATTGATAGGTACAATTAAATAATAATGAACATTGAAATTAAAAAATAAATAATATTTACAGCTATGTCATACGATTGGATGAGAACAGTCCTCAGGGTACTACCTTATTTTTTCCTGACCCGCCTGCGCCGCGAGTCAGGGATGATGATCCAGGAGACAAAGGTGTTTTCTCACTTCAGCTGATAGGAAATAATGGAACTTTCGAAATATCACCAAGCGTTGGTGATCGAGATGTCACCTTCCTCATTAGAGTGAGAGATCCAGCAATGCTAGATTATGAGAAGATGCCAGTTCTATCGTTTCAGGTAATAAAATACCTAATTATTTTGTGGATTTCCTTAACTCGTCAATTTTTTAACTCTGTCAGATGTCGTTATTATTTGTCATGATATCTTCGAAATGCGATATAATTTTATACTTATTTTTCATATTTTAACTTTATTCATTTCTTTTATGAAATGACCAAAATTAAATGTTTAATTTGCAGATCGTAGCACAAGAATTGGGACCTACAACAAACTTGTCGGCTATAGCAAACGTAACAATCTTTTTAAATGATGTCAACGACAATCCGCCGGTTTTTTTGCAACCCGAATATCGTGCGGATCTTGCGGAAAATGCTACTGCTGGTACCAGAGTCATTCAGGTGCAGGCTAAAGATGAAGATACTGGTCCTGGAGGAAGATTAAGATATACTAGAATATTGGGTAAATAGGATAAGTCTTATTCTCATCATATAATATTCTTATACTTCTATTCTATTTATGCAAAATAAAACATAGGGGGAAGTCCCCGAGTGCCAGACACCTAAGGTTATTTATAAATAAATCAAAAAATATTTTACGAAATGTTTATCAAATTATGACTTATGTTAAATAACAAAGTTAGAAATCAAACTAAATTAACAAACTTTGGTAACAAAAAATATGATTTTAAAACGTGGCACCTAGTACTGGACATTTCAAAATAACCTGGAATCTGGAATGTTTGCACATGTGTGTTTGACGAATATTCTTAGATATTGCAAAAAATAATCACTATTTATCCACCCTTTTGGCTGGGCCACACTGATGTTCTCAGCTGGAGCATTCATCATAAGATTTTCATTCTTTGACTAGAAAATACGAAAAATGAGGGTATGTAGTGATCGTTAGCACTCATACAGAACAAAATTAAATAATTAGAATAAATTACGTCAATTCTCCTAAGAAATATCTATATGTTTACTATCCGGCGCTAAGGGACGACTTAGTGTCCGGTGCTAAGGGACAGACATGTTTGTTTGGTGGTACCTACTAAAATTGTTTAAAATATCTAATAATATTCTACCATTTACGGTAGAAAGTTCATTTGTATTTTGAAATCGAAAGATTTATACTCGCTTAAATAATACCTGTTAAATAGAGTGTCAGGCGCTATGTGCCTCCGTACCTCTAAAATTTTAAATATAACATAAATATAATTCTTTATTACAATTAATAACCAACTACTTTAGATGCATTTTAGATCAATTTATATATTATCAATATCACAAATTTTTTGAAAATTAGGTTTTAAATCAATGCAATTTTAAATCCATTTAATGGTCTATTATGTCCTACTCCTAAAATATAGCCAATGATGGTTCCTATAATCTTGTTTAAAGATTGTCGTGAATTACTAGCGTAATTTTTAATATTACTGTGAACGTTTTCATTAATTATTTCGAATGCTAGTTTAACCATGTATTTTAGCCCGTTTATATGGAATAATAATCGTTTCTCTGTTATTGTAGGGTATCGAAATACATCATTAAAATTAGATTCTGAAACTGGATGGATTACTGTAGCGACTAACAATCACGGATTTGATAGTGAGGAAATGCCAGAATATAGTTTTCTTGTGGAAGCCAGAGATGCTGATGGAGAAGGTAAATCAATAATTGATAAAAATTTTATATTATGAAATTGAATAATAGTCAGTTTTTATTAATTTTCATAATAGTTCGAAAACATGAAATAATGTTTATATATAATTTTACTTATATCAGTTAAAGATCGTCTTTATATAGATACTTGTTATAAAACCTATCTAAATACACATACCAATATATAACGATATTATTTTGAATATTCATATAGAAAATAAGTGCAAACAGATATTTCTTGGTGTACATAGGGTAAACAAAAATAATAATCGATAATGTTATTTTCATTAAAATGCAGTTATACAAAAATACGTATACAGGCTTGAAATTTTAATATTTAATTTTTCCTCAAAGGTAATGCTGCTACAACTTCTCTGGTTCTATCAATAACTGATGTGAACGACAATGCGCCTCATTTTGAACGAGATGTTTATGAATTTATGCTGTCATCTGGGCTAAATAATTTTACGGTTCCAGCCTTTCTACATGCCACTGATGCAGATGCCACCAGCCCAAATAATCAAGTCAGATACGAAATCGTACATGGAAATTATGATGAAAAATTTCGTTTGGATGAAATTACTGGTCAGTTCTATAAGTTATTGAAATCATATTCATATTGATAATATAATTATTTTATTGTAAACTATTCTGAACTAATGTGAAAATTAGAATTTCATATATTTTTTTTATCAATTAGGCGAGTTAACAGTAAATAACATAAAAACATCTCGTGATACATCCAATAAGCAAGGAAATGGCCTGAAACCTGAGGTTTACGCTATGACTGTGCGCGCCTACGACTTAGGAGTTCCTCACATGGCAGCAACAACCTCAGTTCGTGTTTATCCTCCTGAAAGCAGAGCACGGTCGCTCATGTTTGTGGTTCCTGGTTCGAAGCCTGATCTGAAAGCCACCGCCGACACGATAAGAGCTCTGACAGGGGCTGCTGTTACGATCGAGGACGTCAGGCCGCATGATACCGACCCGGACAAGTTAGTTTTAGAGAAAAAATTAAAATACTGAATTTTTTAACTGAGAAATTTTCCTAAAAGATCATTCATTGGGTGTTAATTTGTACAGTTTCTCAGAAAAAAATTCAGACTGTTAAGCATTATTTTATGCAATAAAATACTGCTTGCATTACAGTTAACTTTACATATTACTAATTATTGTTTTGATTTATCCAGTGCATCCTCATTTTACTGATAGAAGACATAAATATCGAATTAATTTAGTAATTCAATGATTCGTGATTTTACTTTCTTTTTTTTTAAGTTGCATCAATATAGATATTTATTGTAAATAATTTAATGTGCCTGGCAAATGCTCTTCTCATGTTTATATTTTATATTAAACTTTTCAGGAGTATTGTTCTGGCCAGTCTTCATTATACTTCAAATTCTGTTGTGGACGTTGATCAAATTCAAAGACGACTTAGCGGCAATTATTCCGCAGCGGCTATAGCAACCGAACAAACAACAGCACAGGTATTTTTTTTATGGTAAATACAATATACACTGAAGTTATAACAAAATTATCATTTTTATTTTTATTTCAGATCTATCGAGGCGATAGCAGTAATCTATTGTTTTGGTTACTGATATTTCTGGCTCTTGCAATAGCTTGCGCAATTTTGGCTTTGATACTGTGCTGCATTTGTGCAGGTTGTCCTCTATATATGCCGCCCAGGTATTTATTACATAAATATATTTACTCCACATTATTTTGCCACTCAAAAATATCAAATTTTAAAACCACGTACCAAGGGATTGCTAAGAATATAAATCCCTTCAGTCATAAAACATCGGAATTTCATAAATTAACACAAATATGCTTTATGTTGAAAAATTTGTTGAGAATTTATCAAAGTGATAGGCCGAGGCTCAGTTGAACACAAAAGAGTAATATAATTCTAAGCGCGACTTGCTCCATGAAGAGTTATCTCTTCAAATCTCTGGGATATGGTGTTATTTACTGATATGTCGTTACTATTGATATTAGGGTATTCCACTTTAATTTTTAATGTGTTGATAGATACTATTAAAATTTCAGGAAGCGCGTTGTAGCTACCGAAGATGGTGTTCGACTGGTGCACAGATCAGCCACCGAGAAAACAGCTCTCAAAGGCGGAGTTCTTCCACAAACTGTTGAATGGACCCGAGCTCGTGAAGCCTGGAGTGCAGAAGCTGAACCACGAACAAGACCGACTCATTGGCAATTCAACAGGCGAAATAATAATCAACAATCGCAAAGGTACCGCGATGATCGTGATGACGCTTCAGTTACCAGAGAAGAATATATTCCAGGACCCGGAAGACTAACTGCACCTGAGAGAGGACCAGATGGTGCTCTCAGATTGAGGTTAGTGAAAGTTTATATAGGAACAGTAATTTTTCATTTTCGTCCGTTGATAAAATTGATCTACAATATTGTCCATCATATTAAAAGTTGCTTAGTTGTAATTGTTTTTTTAGGGATGGTCCCAACGTCATATACACCCGTGATGTTCAGTTGCGTCGATCAGAGCGCGATTTAGACCAACTCGATCGCCTGGAAAGATTAGATAGAGAACGTCTGATTACTATGGCTCAGACTGATGACCGACGCGATCAAAGATTTATAAGAGAAGGTGATGCCGAAATTCTTCAGTTGATGACAAGGGGTGGAAGGGAGGATGCATTAAGTGGGCAATACGTATTAGTTGACGGGGGAAAAGAATTGCTGATGAGAAGGTAAATGATTCAAAGGTTACATTCTTATGATTTTGAACCATAATGTATGTGATATTTCAATGTGCAAATGGGGTTCTCAGAAAACGAATCATATAAAAAATTGACTGTTTAAATTAATAAGTTTTTATTATCAAATTATCATTTTCAATTATCAAAGTTTTTACTTATAGTTAGCATGATTCATAGTTCTTCATATTGAATGATTTTATCTGATTACGATCTAATTTTCTTATCCACAATTTATGGATATAAACCGGTAGACATTTGCAATATCTCATATCTCGTATATTTCGAGTCCAATATATGAGTGTATTCAAATTATATATTTATGTTTGTTCTTCCTAGGTTCATGGAAGATGAAATGCATCAGACACAAGCAATTCCTCAAGCTCAAGAACCGCCATTGGAAGAGTCTTTACGCGAACAAAATGCTTTACTACGTAAAATTCTTCTTGAAAAGGAAAGACTTCTACTACTCCAAGAAACTCGCAGCTTGAGAGGCGGACTGGCAGAAGCTCTATCTGAGACTCAGAGCTTGCCAGGACATGCGGCTGCTGCGGTCGCCGGGACGCAGACCGACCGCACAGCTGGCACGCAAACAGATCCAAGAAGAACTAGAAGCGATTTGGACGAATCGCCTGGTAGGACAGTTACATAAATCATAATACTTCATAACATAAATAATATTTAACACTAGATACACCACGCCAGTCAAAATGACAGGTTGGACACTTTCAATTCAAAATTCCCATTATATGTAAAATTTGTTTTGTGAAATGAAGTTATGACTTTTTAAGTTATAAGTATAAAAATTATTTTATGCATTCAAAGTTACTTTATATATATTAGTAACAAAAATAAATTGTGTTACTACTACTTATAAGAGCACCAGTCAAAATTACTGGTGCAAGTTTCTATAGAAAATGTTTGATGAAAGAACCGAAATAACAATAGACACAGATAGTCTGCGTTTATCTATCGCCTACACTCTTATCGACGACAATGTATATTATTTATTTTTTATTCTTTTTTACATTGTAAAAACGTAGGTTGCTGAACTATTACTAGATTTTGACCAACAAAACAATTGTTTCGAGCTTCGTTCAACACACTAGATAAAATTTTATTGAAAGTGATTTTCAAGTATAATTATTTATTCTTTTTATACACTGATACAAGTAAGTAACATTCGCGTGGATACAGAAATTTTCAAAAATACATTCTTGAGTAAAAAAAACTATAAACGAAAAAACGGCCATAGTTCCGACTTATTTTTATAGTGACTGTTAGTCTTCGAAAAAAGAATGGAAAGAATGTTTTTTTAGCTTGTTTGGAAAATACAATCAGCGGATCTCTGAAATGTTTGGACCTAGGATTTAAAATATATGATAGTGACGGTGAATTTTTAGATAAACAAATCAATCCACAAGGCAGTGCTATTATCGACTGTAGAGATGAGAAAATTTCGTGATAAAGACAATACAGATGGATCAAGTACGTTAGTAAATGGATAGATATCACAAACAAACGTATGAGATGATGCGAGCCACTTTCTTCCAATTCTGAAGATCAATTTGGAAGTAATGCACCAAAAGAGGAAACTAAAATAGGTTTGGGCGAAGCTATTTGGACAAGAGTTGTAGTAAAGTGAAATAGGTTTTGCAGGTATATTAGAAGTTCAAAGAGCTTTCAGAGACATACTCAGACCAAATTTATACAAAATAAGCCCTGGTTTGGAACAAATTATGGAAAATAGCAAAAATAGCTTCAAACTGGGAGCTCATATCACTTTGGTTGAATAACATTTATCAACGAAGGCCAGAAGCATATTTAGCCAGTAAATGCCAAAGAAACTATAAATTTACATAGAATTCAGTCTGACATCTGATGTAGAACAAAAAATATATAGTAAATGGTTGCCCGTGTTTAGGAAAAGACGAAGGATCAACCCCTCTAAGCGAATTTGTAGTAATGAAACTTCTTGAAACATATACTATAAAGGGTATAAATGCAATAAGCGATATTATTTTTACAATTATTCATATGGCATTGAAATTAAAATCTAAAAACACGTCGGTAACTGTAATTATTGAGTATTGTGCTAAAGTACTGTAAAAACTATTAAAAATAATATATTTTATTATTTGACAATATCTATAAGTCTATTTAACAACTGTAATTAGTTTTGTTCAACTTAAAAACACAATAAGTATGTTTTCTTAGAGACCAGTCATTTTGACTGGTATTGGTAGAAATAGGTACATTCAAACGACTGGTATATCTAGTGTTAAATCTCAACCTTACGAATGAATACTAAAGAAGTATTCTATGAACGTTAAGAAAAAAATTATGCATTGGTATATTCTTTAGCATAGAATAATTTTATTATTTCATTGGTATTTTTTTATTTTTCAGGAGATGAAGAAGATGAAGAAGACTGGCGTCGCCGCCGCCGAATAAGGCGTCGCAAACAAAAGCGCGTTCTCGGAGCTCGCCGCATCCGTACTCCTATTGCAGAAGAAGATTCTCCGGTCGAGGATCACCATCAAACGTCATCACAGACCAACAGCCGCAAGAGCAGGCAAGCAGAGCGATCAGACGTACTTGCCGAAATTTCTGATTCGCTGGACGAACGACAGCGCTCTGCTGAGCGAACTCTTCAGATGACTAGAGAACCTAAATATGTAAAAGCCAAAAGACAAACAGCAACTCAGAAGCAGCATCACGAAGAAAACGGCAGATCCATTTCTGCGGATAGTTTGGAAGATAGAAAATCAGCTGATAAACCAGGAGATGCTACTAATTCTGGTAAAACAAGTACGGAAGGAGAAATGTATGAAGGCAGACTGAAGAAACCTATTCCCAAAAAGCGACAATTAGCTACTTCAGCTGATAAAAACAAAGGCCCTGCACCTAAACCTCCTAATAAATCTGACGGAGGCGAAGAAGGTAAAGAAATACCTAGATATATGCAATGGTACTTTGATCAACAAACAGACTCAAAGAAAAAGTCAGAGTCAGCTAAATCTAAATCAAAAACGAAGTCAAGAACTGATTCAAGTCTAGAAAGACAAAGTCATATTCAAAAGAAACCTGCTATAGAGACACAATCTGCTAAAGCAGTACCGTCGAACCAAGGTTCTAATCATTCTCTAACTCAACATTCCGAATACAGATACGAACATCCCTCTTCTATTCCTCAAAATCAAAATAATTTGACTGTATCTGATGGTAAAACAAAGGGTATGCCGGAGGATGATCAGGATTCGGGCATAGCTATGACATCCATGATTTTACAAAATTTGACAACTGCGAAACGAAATCCAATAGCAGAGAAAAAAAGCGTTTTTACTATTGCATATGATGACATGCGGATAAAGCAATTGCGATCCGATAGCAACTCGCCACCTTATTAGAAAATTTTGTGGCTTTGATAAGTAGTGATCGAGGATATTCTATATAAATAATTGTTTTTCAAATCAATGAAACAAGCGAGGAGTCGGAATCGAAATATGCACTGAATTAATGAAGCCTTTATGTGTCAATTGATACAAATATTTTTTATTATGTTATAATGTTGCTTCGGTTTTTTTAGGCTTTGAAATTGTTTGTAAGTTGCATTGCTTGTTGAAGACGTAAATTAACAGGCAAGTAATCGAACTAACAGCAAAAAACTTAAAAAATGAATAAAATCTTTTGAGTCGTCTGTAATATATTATTATGTTTTATCTGGGTGGTTATCAAGTTTCAAGAGACTAATACAATTAATATAAAATATTAATATTATAATGAATAAAACTGTGAGTTGATCGTCACGATGTGTAAAATATTGTTTATGTGACTGTGTGTAAATAATTACTCTTTATCGATTTTAATTATAGGGACCTGATACGTTTATTCAATTATATTAGAATAATGAATAGTTTAATCTGTACTTTTTCTAGGTTTAAATTCAATATCTTAATGTTAGTAATTTGTCCAAAGGATAAACATTTCCAAGCACTGTGCTGCCTTTAGCTGTGTAAGACTGCAATACAATTAGTTAGTATATTAACAAATTTTTAAAAGTTGAAAACTTGTGATTGTTATACAGCTTATAGATATTTTATAATTAAATATGAAATGAAAATGAAAATGAAAACAAAAGATGTAATTGATGAAAAGTACTGGATATTTTTCTTGAAGAAGTTGTTGAACGCTATAGTATCATCAAATTTTTAAAAGCCATTATTTTATATGTATTAGATATATCACGATTTATCTTTATCGCATTATATCGCACTGTTTTATACTAAAAATTTTAACAATTTTATAAATTGTTGGAAATACCAGTTCATAATCAAATAGCTTGTTTTAATTAACGAGTTCGGACTTTACCCATCTTATGGTTAATTTAAACTACCTATATCATTATACACAAAATTATTGTAGGTACGTGTGTTTACTACTAATAGATATAATAAAACGATGAAAAGTCAAATCTTAAAATGTACTATAGCTTTATTATAATTATTTTTTAGCAAATCTAAGCATGTTTGTCAGCTAAAATCAATGTTTTGCCATCATTAGTAAAATAAGTAGATAGCGAATCTTTGCATTTAAACTTTAACAAAAAATATGTGTCTTATGCAATTACAAAATGTTTTATGAAAGTGTTTGTCAGCAAATTTATAACATATATCAAAATATTTTACTATTGTTAGAAAAATAAAGAAATATATTTATTGATAATATAGCTGTATAAGTTGCATATGATCAAAAACTGTAAGTCATCCATTTGTATTTTTTGTAAATATATAGTTTTTGTATAATAAATATCTAAATCATATAAAGATGTATAAACTTTTAAAATTACCTTTTACTTCTAATGTTTGAAATATTTGAAAAATATAAAATATATTATTAATATTTACTATGTAAACAACAAGTGGATAAAAGTGCAGAAGCGGCCAGCGCATAACGAAAATTACTAATAAAATGCGCCTTTAACACGGAGATCCGGGAAAACTTTGTTGTCAATATCAGGTTAAATATAGATAATTTCTAAATAATTTAAAACAATCAAAAATAGTAAATTTTAAACCAAGTGTTAGGCGGTTTTGCGTTCAACCAAGCTTCCGATAGCGTACAAAGAGTGTTCAGTATACCAAAAATATGGGTCATTGCGAGGCATAAGCTTTTATCGTGTTTTCTCGATAGCATTTAATATTAGAATCTTTTGTAACATTAAACTAGAAGAAAGTAATACCGTCTCTATACCCGAGTGCTATAAATTTTGCTTCAGTTCACACTATATGAATTCGATTTGCGTTCTGTATTAGTTCTATGTGTAGATTTGATGATAATTTGATGATTTAGCAAATAAATTGTTGCTGATTATTTTCTAATGATATAAAACTACGTCGTTTGCAAATGAAAAGTTACATAGTTAAATTTATGCATAAGTTATGATAATTGAACAGTATATTTTATTGTTTTAAACCAGCGATCGGAGTCGGGGAACGTTTTAAATCATTACCCCAAAATACTTTTTTATTACATTACCTCCATACAGACAACAACGTAGCAAAAACAGCAAATATCAATTAAAAATACATACTTTTTACACCCAAAATCTTAATTTTTATCCATTTTGGAGTAATTTACCCCGGTTTCCCGACCACGGTTTTAAATAATTATTGACTGAATTACAAAACCACATCACAAATTCTATATTTTCAAAATTCCAATTAAAATACTATAATAATTACTATTGAATTTATGTTTAGTTCAAAATTTGCTGAGAATTTGAACGACTTTTGGAACGAAAACCATCGTCTAGCAGATTTCAGCCTTGCGCATTATGGTTGCCCAAGCGTTTAAAAATGCTAAAAAACGAAAAATTGAGCTTTCTCCTGTAAACTTTAAATATTTATACGATGGATTTAATTTATTGATTTCAACCTGCATAAGTATCTGCCAGGCGAGACGAAAGATTAATTTTTATGAGCAAGATGTATATGCATTAAAATATTATGGTTAACAAAAATAATTCTGAACATAATTTTTATATATGTACTATAATTTACAAGTTTAATATTAGTTTTCACATTACGTCTATAGAAAACTTGCTCTCCCGACATAGTACATTTGCTCTGACCTGGTGAAAGCTTAGACTGGATAGAATCGCCTGGTATTGTGCATACCTTTTCAAAATCGCTTATTATTAATTAGACAAATACATAATGAATTTTAAGTAAGTACTATAGAACCTCGATTATCCCGACCTCGGTTATACGGATTCGCGATTATTCGTACTATCAACCGCTATTTAAATAAAAATATAAAATAATAAAAATATAAAATTACTCAAAAAATATTCTAATTAAATAAATCGTTATTATATTTATTTGATATTTATTATAATTTTTTGATAATAAAGAATAATTTAAAATTAAATTTTGATCCTATAAATTCTAATCATCCTTGATCAATAATCTTTATTAATCTATTACCGTAAATTAATGGATCATAAATATTAGATACAGAAATTGTTGGTAAAAATCATATATTCCCAAAAAATACTAATTTTTTACTATTTATAAATTTAAATCTATTTCTACTAAAACTGTTTTAAACCTACAAATCGAATTTTTGCAGGATATATGCTGCAATTTACTACATATATGTATGTAATTTAATCTAAGAAAATATATATGTACATACACATAGGAAATGTTAATTTCTTATTAAATATTGATTTTCGTTGATAAATACACATCATTATTTTTCATACTTTGGATTATCTGGATTTTTGATTATCCGGATGCCTATCGACAACAATTAGTCCGGTCAATCGAGGTTCTACTGTATTAAGAATCACCAGTAAAAAAATTAACCTTGCAAGAACGGCATTTTTTAAAAGTTTCAGAAGCTTTTGGTACATAGGCTTATAATATAATCTTCGACTTGATCATTTTTCTCAAAATTTCATGATCTTGCGTTTTAGATAAAGCATATCGATTGAATTGCATAATTAAAATTACAATATCTCATATTTTTTAGTTATATATTTTTAAATTTCTTATGAATCATATGTACACACATTTTAAATATACTATGAAATATTTATATATAAATATAGATATATCTATAAATTATAATTTTTGCAAATTATTCCATATTATTAATTATAATTAATTAATTAGGCTACTATTATTTAATTTATATTTATAATTTAAGTTCATTAATTTATAGTTATAATTATTTATGTTATAATTAATTAATTATGCTTCTATGCGTAATTATAAGTATGCTACTGTTTATCGTCGGACTTTATTTAAAAAAAATATTCTGTCTATAAAATCTCTAATACAGCCCTGTAATTTTACTTTTACAGTTTTGATACAGATCAGACACAAATAAATCCATAGTGCCTCATAGCATCGAGCGAATAGGAACACAATAAACAAAACATTTTAATCGAAGCCGTATAAAAACCGGTTTCTATATAAAGCAAAAATACTGCGGAGCAACCAAACTGAAACGTAAGTATTTTCAAGGTTTTTTTTACAAAAAAATAATTTTTATTATTTTGTATGTATTTTTTGTACCAATATCTTTAACTCCTCGCATTGTTGTTTCTCTGATGAGATCGTGTTTCTGTGCATGTCAGTTATGTGTCTTCAACTAGCCCAATATACCAGGGTACCATGCGCGAGTCGGCGCTCAAAATTTCAGTCAAAATAAGGCGGGCCGAGTCGTAAGCGAGGAAATTGAATGATCTTCGGTAAGTTCATACTACAAGGGTCACAGGCACATTTTCGTTTATTGACCTTACTCATGTACGAAATGTGAAATTTCGGCAATTTATCTTTAGATTCCATTTTCACAATATGTTTGATGTAGTGTTAAAGATATATCACGCTTGTTAATGAAATATGGTTATAACTCTAACTTTAAAATAAAAACAATATTTGTGAAAAAGAACTGGATTTTTGGATTAGTATATTGAAAAAATTAGGATTAATTAAATATATGTCCAGATAGCCATCCAAATCAGCATTGAATACTCTGTGAAAGTTCAATTATTTTACGTATTTACAAGTTTTAGAATTTATTTCTGTAATTTAGAAATGCTATATGATGCAGGTATATGTTATATGTTGAAAATTTAGAATAATTTATAATATAAATTTAATAACGAATATACATATGTGTATACATTTGTGCTTACATAATATTTGTGTATTTATGTAACTTTTATTTTACTCGTGAATATAAGTGAATGATATATCATTGATAATAAATGATCTGAATTACACATATAAATATAAAACACGAATTCTAAAATTGGTAAAAATGTATGATAATTTAACTTTCACAGAGCATTCAATACTTAATTGGATAGCTTTTTGGACAAATATTTAATTAATCCTAATTTTTTTAATTTACCGATCTAGAAATCCAGTTCATTTTCATAAATTAATACTAAAAAGAAAAAATGGCTTTCATGCTATATTAATTAGCATAGATTATTTTTAAATATATATTTTAAAATTCATATGTATTTTTATTATCTTTTATAGTAATAATTATACAATAATCATTATTTTTCAAGAACTAAAATAACTCTATAGACTCTATAGTATAGAGTTATATGCATTTATATATTATTATTTTTTTTATTTATTTATATATACATTATTTTCATATTTCAGTCAGACAGAGGTGCCTGGTATGAGAGATTAT